CTCTCAATAATATTGTTATCCAGCTATTAATAATAAGACCTTTTTAAGTCGTTAAATAGATCACACCCGGAAACAACAACTATTAATTGTGGTAGTCAACCACCATATCATGCTAACCATTATATCATGCTGACGCGTGATAACGAAAAGCCTTACCGTACATTTCCTAAAATCCCATTTTTACATTTTGATCAATGAGCATTCATGATAAACGAACTTCTACAGTTGCATGCTGGTATTGACTCACTGTTACCAATTTAAAATCATAGTCGCCTCTGATTCCGAAATTTACACTGTTCCTGTAGTACAACAACGAATTAATTTATACGTTTTGTTTTTCCTTTATTATTATTGTAGGCCCTTATTCAATTTCGCAGGAAATGTGCTGCATTGATGTGACAAATTCAACACCAATTTCCATGTTTTTGCCTGCTAATTCAGGCCAGGGAAGTTGTGCTTTGGCTTTGAACAATTTTCTCGTGACCTTACATAATGATTTTATTGGCCGTTGCAAGAGCTTACTAAAAGATGAAAGTCGGTATGTGTAATAGTATAGATGGTTTCGTCTTAATAAGAAAACCACAGCTAATTGCCCTTTGCGATCGATACCATCTTGATTGATCTGTGAACAAAACGATACTACCTACCCTATTGCTGCTTGTATGATGTATCAATAGAACCAGTTTTCCGTGTTAGCATTTAGTTGTAGACACACTTGCAGAAGTTTGGGAGAATTCGAAATTGCTTGGAATCACTCGCTTTTTTATCTCATTTTTTTTCCATGATTAATTTCTCGTTTCTCCCAAACGTATATGTGTATTTCTATAACTCGATCAAAACACGAAAAATGTTTCCTATTTCTTAAGTACATGTATAACTAGAAATACATGCATGCAAAAACCCTCGCCTTACTGACAAAACATTCTGTTTTCTGAATATGAAGAATTGAAAGTAGTTGTCATGGTAACACGATAATTTTAAGAATAGTTTTGAAATTGAGAAATCCCCCAAAATATCACTTTTAATAACAAAATTATCAATTTCCCAAACATATATATGCTAGGTATGCTATTATACGTAATATAAGCTTCAATTTAATGTAAAATTCAACCACAAATCCTTCGAATTATCCTTCGAATTATCCAACCTTCGAATTATCGGTAAACATTAAGTTTGAAACAAAATACTGATTTCAAATTCTCGCATGAAAATAACTTTGCTTTCCTTTTATTTAAATATTTTAATATACAAAAGAAAGGGTAATTAATAAAACTACACTGCAATTATATGCTGTCTTTTTTCACTTATACTGTATACACAATGATAGTATCACAGTATCACTATATTAATAACTATCAGTTCGATATTCGCAGTATCGCCCACCACTATGCAGTTACAAATATATCAATTATAAAACAAACAATACATAATATACACTTAATGTTTGCACCCGAGAGAAATAGTTAGTTTTGTTTTCCCGAGAATCTCAATGTTTCTCGAGACGAAGTCGAGGGAAACATTGAGATTCGAGGGAAAACAAAACTAACTATTTCCCGAGGGAAAAGACGTTAAGTGTTTTGTTATATAGCGACGAAACAAATATCAACATTGAACAACATTCATACAACAATATTTGTATTTCATGACAAAAACTCTATAGCGTAAACGAGTTTAAAATTTTAAAAACCTACTTAAATGGTTTCAGCAGCATATCCTGTTGCCTGTTATGTATTTTTCTTCTCTTTTACATTCTTTATTTTAACACAAAGCCACGAAAACAGTAGTTTAAATAGTATAAATTTGTGCCGCCATTTTGTTTATTTATGTACGTAACCGGTCGGGGCGGGCAACAATTTTTCACTTATTGCCCGGGCGGGATACATTGCATTTATCTAAAGCCACGTGACTACAAATCAGCCAATCACGTTTGGTGCATGTTCGCACTAGCTATATAACAACAATATTTAAAACAAACTTACCTTCATTAACGTTGGCGACTTTGCTCTATTCTCTTAGACGTTTTTAGACTTTTTTTGGCTCTCAGAAAGGTTTTGAAATTTACGAAATCTTGCAAAAAAGCTAAAAATACAACTTGCAAGAAATGTTCGTTATTTCGCTGTCGTCAATGCAGTCGTTATAATAAAAATTTCAATTTGACCAATCAGTGTTCACTATTCACGACAGTCCGCTATATATTTTGAGATCAGTGAGGATGACCACCCATGAACGGTGAGCCATGCGCCCACGATATTTGCTGAACTTTAGACTTGGCTAGTGCGTTCTTTTCCCCGGGTGTAAATAGCCGGGCGGAATTAGTACCCTCGCGGCTCGGGGATTAAGATTTCTAACCTAGCTATATTGCACATAACTACAGTGTTCAGATAACGCCTTTTAAAACTGGCAACTGTCGATATCATTGACAGCCGTATTAAATGTATAAAATGAAACATGATCTTAACTTCTCTGTTTAATAACGTCTTTACGCAACGGCTATTTACTTTAATTTGTTGTCGATAATCAGATATATAATGTAGCTTGTTTTGTTGATATGTTTTTTATGTTAAAAAGTGAAACTGTGTTTATCGTGATTTAAGGAATATGGTGATAATTACCTAAACTCGGCAATAACACAATATGATTTTTGAAGCATCATTTAGCTGTAGTTTGTGACTTCCGTGTTGTTTGTGCCTCTTCAGTTTGTGTTAACAAGTTGGGCTGCGCGTTTAAACACGTGTTTCACATGTTAAATACCCCGCTGATTGTTACTGGTGATCCCTGCCGGTTTACGAAACGGAAAAACTTCAACTTCAAAGAATGTTACCACATTAGAAAGACATAATTTAAATTTCTATTTCATTTCTTTAGTCCAGCCGAAATCCCGCTGGCCAACATAACTAAGGCTCATCTTGTGGCATATGATCCAGAAAAAGATTTCTTACCAATGATCCTCGCACACTGTGATTATTCTCTTAAAGTTGGTGAGGAAACTACAGTAGAATTTAACTGGAAGTGTTTGGAAAGACAGCTGGTGGACAGATTTATCAGAGGAAGACCCAGACTAATGTCTTTGGTAAATACTAACAATGAACATAGAGTTCAGAATTTAGAAGCAGGGTTATAAAATTAATTGAAAAATAAATTGAGACAAGAATAAATAATAAATCGTTTATGTTTATACATTAATTTGACACTTGTCGATTCAGTTTTCCACCAATCAAAGACGACTATTAAGAACCAGTATCTTAAATAATACGCTGTTTTTTCTTTGCTTTTCTTACTAGGTTGAATTGTTTGTGTTTAGTAAGGATATTTGTGACGGAGAAGTATTTAAGGCCTTAAAACAGAAGATACGTCAGGTAGATGTGTTTAAAGCTTTAAACCACGTTCACTTTTGTGTATTTATTTCCGTGCAGACTAAACATTCAGTCAAAGACAAGAAATAATTTAGCAACTCGGTTATTCTTTTTTTATATTTATTCTGAAACTTCAGAACTTATATTTATTCTGACACTTCATCATTTGAATACTTTAAAAATGTATTTGGAATAGGGTTAACTTAATATTTAAGTTTCTTGTTTAAAAAATAGGAAATATACGAATCTTCACTCATTTCTTGGGAACGACCTGAGACTGCAATCACGGCTTCAATTTTTGAATTGCAGAATAATTAGATGCACTATCTAGTGTATATAAGATATCTATGCTATCAGCTCAATGAGGGTAGATTAGTTTCCGTTTGCAGAATCATGGCCAGAAATCAGGGACATTAGTAAGGCAGTAGAGTCACAATATCTGTACCATGGAGACGGAGGTTGACGCCGGAAAAATATACAGTTTCCGAGCATGTTTCTGCCAGGAAATATTGCTGATAAAATTTGTAAAACTGTAGTATTATTATTCATGCACATATAATGATTTAGACATTAACACCAGACTCGCCTAAAACATGTTTCTTATAGTTAAGCACTGACCAATCAGAAGTCTTCCATAACATAGTTATTGGCTACACCATTGAAGAGGTTGAAATTAAACAAAATTCTTAAAAGTGCATTATTGTCATTTTAGGAAGAACTAACTCGCCCAGTCCAAGATCAAATATTGAATGAACTCAATCAACTGACCGATGTTTGTGATGTTCTTAAATCACTCCATATTGCTATTGGATTTCTGTCTTCTGCTGGGGGAGATCCGTCAATGTCTATCCATGAATACCTTCATTCAGGATTAAAGATGACACTTGGAAATGGCTTAAAAAGCGGGAGGGTAAATCTATATTTGAAGGAGTATAACTCTTCAATCCTGACACTTTTTTAATCTTTATTCGGGCAAACTATGCGTATTTCAGTAGCTATTTGCCTTATCTTGAAACCAAAAAAGAACGCCCTTTCCGCAACATTTTCTTGTTTAATTTTCAAGGTCGTTGTATTTAAGTCTAAGATATATTTCGAACAAGCCCAGATAACAGCATTATTTTATCTAAGATTGCCTGAACAACCGTCTACAGGAACCAAAGGATAATTCGTCTATTACACTAGAAATTTTTTTTACAATCCTTAATACGGAAGTAGTATGGATTTTCGTTGGAAATAGTATGGAAATCCAGTTTTCATTCTAATTTCAATTTCCATACTATGGATATATTAATCAGTTAAATACAGGTTAGTTGAAATAGAGTTTTAGCTTCTGATGTTTCTACACATAAATTTTCTCTTTTAGGCTGAGCAGTTTTGTCAACTGCAACATATTGTATCACTATGGCTGTTGTTATCTTTAGAAAGGGCAAGAGTATTGACAAAGCATAAACAGGTTTGTAATAAATTTAAATGATACCACTTTAGAAATTTTGGGGAAAGCTCCTGCATGCATACAGAAAATCTCAAGTTGACATTATAGACCGTAATAATGAAATTGAAGAAGACTTGCTCTTCTGTAACCTCCATGTATGTACGTTTCGATCCACTTGTCAAACTTGTTTACACTTTAAGTACTAGTTAAAACATGAGCAGCCGATCTTTATCTGATATACAAACTCAAGCCGAATGCGAGCGTTTGTATATCAGATAAAGATCGGTTGCGAAAACACGACTCAACTTATGAAGTAATTTTAAAAATAAGCATTGTCTAAGCCGAGAAAATCAAAGCTGAAATTTATATAAGTCAGGAAAATTCTTTATCCGATTTACAAACATCGATTGAACATATTCTTTCCTCATGAATTATTAATGAGGTTTTTAATAATATGCAAGTGGAACCGTCCGAGTTGTAGTATGTTTCCGAATGAATCATTGCGTCTCTTGATGATGACTAATATGTCTTACGAGTTAAATCTGAGTGATTGGCGAATGCTGTTATCCCGCGCCGCGTATTTTTTTATATGTTTTGAGTTTTATGTTACACCTACATAGTAGCTAGTGAATTTAGTGGCCTTAACAGCTTTGAAATAAGTTAATGAAATATTCTATTCCAATATGCACAGTGATTTGTATCATACTTACAAATGTGCAATTATGCATATAATGCAATCTATAAACAGTAGATCTGCTCCAAAACTCTAACCTTGGCGTCGAAACAGCAAGTTTTCACCTGTTGACCATGTGCATGAGAACAAACTTAACCCATTGTTTCTGTGATTAAACATGCAAAAAGACATTTAGAAAAGGAAAATTAATTTTAACCCAGCGGTTCATTCCTTTTTAGGATCCATTCGATGACGTATCGGATAAGGTGAAGACTTCACTTCACCAGAAACAAAAGTTTCATTTAAACAGCGGGTTACAAAAGCTAAATGTGGATTATTTTGTTCGTGTGTTGCTGAAATTCATTTTGCTTTACTTGAAACATGTTCCTGATGATCATTTACACTTTCCGTAAGTTTACACAGAAGTTATTGTAATTATAAATCAACTATATACTGTGCGCGGAGCTGCGCGAAGATTTTGTTGAAACTCCGTTAAGCGACAATTCCGAATTTATTTGGCTTCAGTTCATAAATACGGTATCTGCAAAACCGTGGATGCATTCTCTTGTGCAGAAAAGCGTGCCACGTTTTCGTTTCAATACATTCAGGAATACAATAAATCCCTGAAACTATTGCTGTTATTCTAATCTACATCTTTTTGATTATTACTTTACGAATATTTCCTTGACCTGTGAGCTTCGCTCTGATGAATCAAGACGAAAAGCTATTCGATCATGGTTCGTGAGAACTAAGCTTCCTTGCCAAGAATGGATTTGTGACGTAATTATCCCCGAGCCAACGGTGCAGAGCGCCGTTCCGGGCGTAAACCCGGGGCGAAGGTACTAATTCCGCCCGGCTATTTACACCCGGGAAAACGAAAGCATTAGCGAAGTCTGAAGTTCATCAATGATCGCGGGCGTGGGTGACCAACGGTGGGTTTTATCCTCACTGATCTCAAAAACATGGTGGACTGTCATGAATAGCGAACACTGATTAGTCAAATTTAAAATTTGTATTATAAAGACTGCATGCATGACGAGAGCGAAATAGCAAACATTTATTGATTTGATAATTTCTTGCAAAATTAGTATATTTCATTTGTGCAAGAATATGTAAATTTTAAAAGCTTTTTAAGAAAATAAAGGTGAAAGAATTGATAAAAGAAGGAAGTAAAGGCGCCAACGTTAACGAAGGTAGGTTTGTTTTTAATATTGATGTATTGTTCGCTTTATAATTGCTTTAAAAGCTGACCGTTGCGTATATTTTAAGTGAAAAAGACAGCAGATAATTTCAGTGTTTCTTTATTGATTACCTTCTTTTGTTATATTAAAATTTGTAATTAAAAATGAATGCAAAGTTGTTTGAATGCGAGAATTTGAAATTATTTTATTTCAAACTCAACTTTTTTCTATAAAGGCAGTTTAGTTTCATAAAGAACATTTTAAAAATGTCTTGCGCGTTTGAGGTTGAATTTTACCTTAAATTGAAGCTTATATTACGTATAAAATTAACATAGGTGTCAATTGGGACAAGAGTTCTGTTCCTTTCCCCTGTCACGAATTGTCTAACTTGTCTTCATTTGTCTTTAATTAGTTTGTAACATGTACATAGTGACAAGTTCATTATATTAAATACTTCATGTTCGGAAAATACAATGGTTTTGTCAGGAAGGCGAGGGGTTTCTGCATGCATGTATTTTCTAGTAGATAGGATGTATTTCGCGTGTACCTATGATACGTCGCTATTTCCGAGATGACGATTCCTAGATCATACGAACATACAACTATACAAAAATAAATGCATGGGGTTTGTCCCAAAACCTTGGTCTATGCATGATATTGTCGTACCAATAGAGTTTAACAGGACTACATCAGCTTATTTATAATAGATTCAACTGAAATATTAATTTCAATTGATCTTTTACTGCATTGTTAAAATGAACAAAATGTCGATGGGTTAGTTCGTGGATGGTCTGTTAAATCCCTCGGGTCATTAATCTGCTCAATAACCACACATACAAATAACTTAAATATGTGTTTCATTACTTTAGTTTATCGCAGTACATCAATGCCAAACTAGAGGAAAAGGAATGTGATGTCATTGATGGTTTAGAGGAATATATACCAGAGGATATCAAAGTGGAACATGCCGTGGAAGCTTGGAAAGTTGCCTGCCAGAAAAGCGAAGATTACCACTCAAGGATGCGGGAGTAACTTGTAAAGAATTTTTGTCCATTTCTGATTTTTACATATCTTAAAATTTAGATCGTATTAAATAATCACCCACTCAGCGAGAAAGATTATTTTAACGTATAATTTCACAACCTAATTAGTATATCTTAACTTCTTTTTTCATTCAATATATCATGTATGGTTTTATTTTGGGAAAATAAATTTTGGTGACTTTAACTGTTCGTTTAGGTGTCAAATATTCAGTAAACCATTTATACTATTGAAATACTAAATGAATGTAAAATGATGATTACGAAATTTTTTAGCCATACATGTCTTCTGCAGAAGCAGATAAAAAGTTTGAAAAGAAAATAGGTTGGTGTTTAACCGTCTATCAGATTAGTGGGGAATATAGTTGCAATTGATGACTTTCAGCTTTTAGAATTAAGTATGCCAAATACAAGGTGATTCTTAATAATTATATGAAGTACCCATTACCGTGGATGAGTGTATTACGTGGGACGGGAAAAGAAAAAGAGACAGAGCTCGATTAGTTGATTAGCCTTGTTTAAGACGGGGGTGGAGGCATTGGCCTTCTTTACCGCGACGCTCTCAGAGTTACTACAGTTAGAACTGGCGAAGAGGAGTCTTTTGATTACTCTGAGCTTCTGATACAGCTATCAACTTCTTGCAAGCTTAGGACTTTCATCGTTTATACATCACCACTTTCACAAAGCCACAGGTTTTCTATGAACAATGAGCACTTTTATGAGGGAGATTTCTAATATCTTAAAAAACTCGTTAATAATTCAGGAGGAAAACACAAAGAAAAATCATAAGCGTGTCGTGGTTTTATATGTGATAAAAAATCATGTTAATTTACATAAACTTTAGCTTTGATTTTCTCGGTTTAGACAAAGTTTATTTTAAAAATTACTTCGCCAATGAACTCGTATAAGATGAGTCGTTTTTTAAGCTATTTAAAGCACTTGTAGTCGTGTTTTATTACATATAAAACACTCCGCTACGCGTTGTGTTTTATATGTGATAAAACACTCCTACCTGTGCTTTAAATGGTACTTAGACTCGGTTACTTTATCGAAGGAGTGCTTAGTCGTCCATGGGGACTTTAACATTCATGTTGATGACTATTGACATAGGATTTTAAGGTTACAGAACACGTTTGAGTGTCAATTTTGTCTAAATTTTTTTTTATTGGTTTCCATGAAAGCATTAGACTGATTCTACTATCTGACCAAGTTTGAGCGCAAAATGTTGAAAACTCGCAGAGTTATTTAATAAAATACATTTCGCTGTAATAAGAAAAACATTGAAAATGTAATATTCAAATTCAATTTTCTCCCGACGAATTTTACAGCAATTACTGATTTTCAAACGAGTTGTTTTCCTGCGGGTTTTAACGAATTTTTCTCAAATTTTCACAGGACATAGCTACAGACATCAGTTTCAAAATTGTGTTCGGCTTTGTTCTAATTTTGGATATTTTAATAATAAGGAGCAATTCACTCAAACGATTCAGAAATATATTGCAGTGGTCAAAGAAATTGCCATATCCGCGGAATAACGAAATAAACAAAAAATTCCGAACATCATTTTTTAGAACAACTATTTTACTGTATAAAAATTATATTTTCATAAATATATCTTAAAACCAGCAGGAACATAACTCAAAAGCGTAAAGGTACCGCGATTTAAGATTTTCCTGAATAATTCTTATATTATTTCATCGTTTGTCAATTTTACAACTTTACCATTTTGCATGCACTGCTGAACATTTGGTGAAAATTTGATGAAAATCGGACTGATATTGAGCGCGCAGTAGCGATTTTCCGCAAAACGCCCAAAAGGTGTCCTGTAACCTTAACATTAATGGTATGAAGTTCCTTGATTTGTTGCAATCACTCGGACTTGAGCAGCACGTTACTCAACCGACTCATATCCATGGTCACACCCTGGATCTTGTTATCACACGTAAATGGGGGTCACTCATAATGTCACCGCCACGTAGGTACCACTACTTTTCTGATCATGCAGCTGTTTATAGCAGTATTTGTATAGAGAGGCGGCCTGTGACCCAAGCTTGAAGAGTCACTTACCGGAAAACTAAGGCTGTGGAGATTTGGCGGTGTCAGATTTATGGAAACGGAAACACGGTGAGCATTTAAACAGTTATAAAGAAGTGACATGGCAACAGACTTTCAACACAATAGTAGTAAATTTTAATGTTCAGGAGAGTATTGTCAATGTGTGCGATAAATTTTGTCTTCGTGTCATGTAAAGTGAAAAAACAGGATACACCTGGATACTATATGTAGCACTGAAAAAAATTTTGAAAATCCACAGAATGGAAATTCTATGGACCTTTACTGGAAATAGAATGGATTTTGATTGTCCATAATAATTGTATATTTCCATTATATATGGATCTAGTCTCGAAATAGTATGGATATACTATGGATTTAGTGGTACAATTGCAATCTCACGGTATGGATTTCACATTTTTTTCCAGTGTAGTATAATGCAAAACCCTAGGGAACCACCTTAAGCCTAAGTTTTTTTGTTTGCGTAAATTCTTCAGTACTTTTTACCAAATGGCATGTGATAAAAACCAAACATACTTGCAGGTTCGGTGAGTCCGGGATTGGACGCACCTCGGGAAACTTCCAGCCATCCTCGGTGCGTCCAATTCTGGACTCATATCCCTGCAAGTATGTTTGTAAGAGAATAATCTCTCGCTCATTTCTCTGGCGAAAGTTACTTCATTTTTTGTATCCAAGCGAAAGCATACATTACTTTTTGGAAAGAATTTATCCGTTTATTTTAAACAATCTTAAAGGCCGTTTTCCACTGTAGGCGGAATTTTCCCCTCGGAGCGGAATTTCTCCTTGTCTTTTCTAATTAGTTCCATCCGAGTAACCACAAGACAAAGAAAAATTTCGCTTCGCGCGGAAAATTCCGCCTAGTGGAAAAGTCGGTGAAATCATATAGAATAATCCAAACGACTTCGAACGTTTTAAGCGGCTCGATAAGAAAAATCATCTATTTTTGACAGAGCGGAATGAACTTTTTTAATTCAAAAGAAGAAGCATGCTTAGTCCATTAGCCAGAAAAGTTTGGTGTCAGGTAGTTATGCGGAAGGCCAATAATTCTCAGGTTCCTTCTCCCCATACTGGTAGTATGGGCCTGATTTTGGTTAAGTAGCTTCAAGTTAAACCCACTTCAACTGGTAAGTTGAAGGCAGGTTGTTATAAACCTGCTTCAACTGGTTGTTAAACCCACTTATTATATGGCAAGCATCACTTCCGGCGAAATTGGTGACTGTGATTGGCTGAGAAACACTTTCAGATGTCCATTCATTTTTCCCGTAATGGACCGGCGTTCCATTACGTAAAAAGAAACGCATGTATTTTAAAACAAAACAGCAAAACTGATTGATAATTTGAAGATTATAATTTAATTTATTATTAATAAGATATCTGCGAATGGCTTTAAGTGGAAAAGAAGGAATACATTGGTAATATTTGTTTTCTTCGATCAAATGTGTACCACACTACTAATATACATTTCAAATCATGCATTTCTTGTTTCTTCCGAGTATAAATGCCTATAAATGCCATATAATAAACTTTTTATTAACCTCGCTAATTATTGCTCGGTATGTACAGAGAAATATCGGACCTCGGTCGTTTTGTACAAACCTCGCCCTATACGCGCTCGATCTGTACAAAAAATACCTCGTTAGATTTCCAATCATGATATGCAAGCCAGAATGTCAACTGGGAATACAATATGCCTTTAATGAAACGCTTAAATGCGTACGAGCATAAATGTTTATTACACTTGTTAATTTTGGCGGCAATAATCAACCCTCATATACATGGCAGCTGTGTTGTTTTGAGAGAGCACTTTTTCGTGTTAATTTTTCCTTCGCTAAAGTCACTATAACTGTTCAGTCATTTTTAATTTAGGTAGAATATTTTAAAATAGCTTTACCATATAGTAACATCTCTTGTATGATCATCTTGTATGATTTCCGGAATCTGAACTTTCGAATTCGTAGATGCGTTTGCTTCGGTGGTGTTGAATTTGGGTAAGTGTGGATACTCGACTTCTCAATTGTCCCTCTTGGATGAGAGGCGTCAACGCTCAATAATGTTAATATTCAAATATCGGCACACCATCCAAGCACGTACAATTAAATATAACTTGCCTTTTGTAAGTTGTGAAAACATTTTATTAAAGGAACACATTCAAATTAAAGGTAGGATCAAATTTCGAACAACTTTTTAATTGTAGAGATAAACTATACTAGAAATTTAAATACTTATATATTTTATATATCAAATAATTTATATAAACATCTGCTAAATTGCGTGTTTGAATCTTCGCATAAACAGTAATAATGTCGTGGCGCATTTGTCTTTCAGCATAATTGTGACGATGATTTATATAACAGCATTAGATTGACGTTTTCTTATATTTCGCTGAGGTTTGAACGCGTTGAGTTTTGGCAAGTGCTTTCATCGCCATAACCTCGGCCATAACAAAACAACAAAAGTGCAAACATTGTTGACCATATGTACACTTCAATACTGCTTCCATTTCTGAGCAAAACACCCACTTTCAAGAACAATAACTGCATTACAACAACACAATTTTAAAATAAAGAAAAGATTAGAGGTATAGAATAATCCCAGCACTTAAATAAACACATAAAAACGCGGAAAGCATACAGTCGTAAACATCATTGAATTTCGCTAATGTAAACCCTGTATGCCTATTAATATCAATTCACACAGTTTAGAAAGAGGATTGGATCAAATAGAAACCAAAGTAATGAAGTTGTGAACAGTATCTGCAGATTATTTTCGGGGTTTTGTCTGAATGATGTACAAAATTCACTTGTTCAAAAATAAAACGTCATTTTCACGCCCTCGTCGACTTCACGTTTGTATTTCCTGAAGCTGACTAATAACCGCTTAGACAATTCGGTTTTGTATATTAATTGAGATAACTTCTATTTTCTTATTAAAGCGTGCATGGATGATTCTCTTATATACCAAGCTTCCAGCAAAATGTCAAGCCATATATGTTCTTCACCCGGTTATATCATATGATGATATGTGCTCGAATATATATATATATATATATATATATATATATATATATATATATATATATATATATATATATATATATATATATAT